CCTCAATTAAGTGAATCGCTATTGGCCACAATAAGAGATGCAGTATCTCATATTGCTGCCACAGACCTATGGAAGCAGTGTTCTAGGCATATTATTGAAAAAGAAAATGAATATTCTGTTTTGCCTCCTGTAAATCCCGTTGTAATTCCTCTACAAGATGACTCTAGCGACAGCTCCGAAGGCGAGGATGATATATAAATACCTATAATGTAAGTCTTTATATACCTTTTTATATACCTACCTGCTATGTAAATATTTGCCTATGTCAAACGTTGGAATTCTGTAATTTTTCCATTTCTTAACTTTCAGTCAACATAAATTAAACTCCTAATATAAGTATTTTTTATCCCAAATCAAAAAAATAAGAAGATAGTAAAATCCATTTATGGTGATATAAAAACATTATTATTATCGTTCTAAATAAATCACCGCACGCCTATGATACGTCATGAAATTACAAAGGACGCGCCGACCAAGGGTTTTTATGCTATTTCAAGTGACTTCAGATAAAGAATACCTCGATATGAAATGTATTGTTCTATCGGTATCCTGAATAAAAAGCGTGGTATATTTGCTGGCCCCGCAGCGAGGATTTGAAATCAGTTCTCGTGCAATTAACAAATTTCAAATGTTTTTTTTTTCAATACACGGGTGAAAAAACGAGGAATAACCACGTCATCCTTGGAAAGTAGATGTAAACCAACCTATTAAAATTGCATTTTGCCTGGGTAATGTAGTGTGTAGCGTTCATATTTGTTATGCCTGTGATCCATTATCAAATAAAGTTCTAATTTCTAGTTAAAACTAATGAATCTGCAGCATGATTTTTAACCGAGGCCCCTTCGCTTTATGCCATTAATACCGTTCAACAAACGCGCGGAGGTGAAACACTCGATTTTCATGCGACCGCCGAGCCCAATCTCGCGACATCCGCCTGTTGAAAAATCCACAACTCATTTTTGCATTCGGGGGGAACACACAGCGACTGGTTATCCTTCGACAGACTCATCATATTAGGTGAGTCATCTCATTTATCGTCAGCTATTTTTTCTGATCAATGCACGAGAAGACCCCTTTTTATTAATGCATCTTATCGTATTCGCTCACTGTGTAGTTGTTCCTTGTTCTCCCCTTCTGTGATGTATTACGTGATTATGAAGAGTGGTAGCTTCCCTTCAGTGGCTACTAACGGTTACGTTCAGGAGATTGTACAGGGTGCGGCAGAGAGGACGGACGTTTTCGGGATGGGTAGTTGTAATTTTTTTCTTAGTGCAATTTTTTGCTTTTTGAATAAAAAGCTGATTCTTCTCATTTTTCTGCATAAAAAAGCTCTCCTGTGAGTTTTCGTTAAAGTTAGCCGTTTTTGAGATATTTCGATATTTAAGGTTCGATGCATTTTTAAATATTTATGATAAAATAACGTTAAAAAGTCAGTATCTCGTTAATTTTAGAAGTATTCTGTGCCTGCAAATATTTTTGAAATTGAAAGCAGAATGAGGTTAAACGTCAATTAGTTGACAGTTAGTTTTATTGTCTGTTGAAAACTGAAACGTTTTTTTTGCAATTGTGAATGCACGAAATTTAGTTTCTTTTACCTGTTTACCAGAGAATACGCACGAAGATTTCCAAACAGACGACATCCAACTCGCTCAGTATTTGTAAGAGTGCATCGCCAAATAATTGAAAATGGTTTTGGAAATCTCCAAAGGGATCAAAACATAAATGTTCGTCAGCGCAGATTCTGCGTGAGTTTGATAGAGATCCGACCACAAGTGTTAGGAGAGTTTCTGGTGCCTTGGGAATTTCAGCAAGCCATGTTCACCGTGTTCTTAGAAATGACCATAGACGTCCTTACCATTTGCAACCTGTGCAGGGACTGCAGCCAGGGGACGGAGAACGAAGAATCACATTTTGTCAGTGGATTCTTGATAGAACTGATAATAGGGAGTTTTTAAGTAACGTTTTATGGACCGATGAGTCATGCTTCACTAGACGTGGAGTGGTAAATTTTCATAATCAACATATTTGGTCGCATGAAAATCCGCATGCAGTTCGGGAAAGAAATTTTCAGCATGATTTAGTGTGAACTTGTGGATTGGTATCTAGCGTAATCGACGATTTGGACCCTACCTTTTGCCTGCAAGGTTAAATGCTGCGACCTTCTTGGAATTTTTAAAGGCTGAACATGCAGATATGTGGGATGATGTTATGTTAGATTTAAGAAAATTGGCCTGGTTCCAGCTTGATGGTGGTCCAGCTCATTATTCGAGAATAGTTAGAAACTGGCTGGACGAAAATGATCCAGAAAGATGGATCGACCGTGGAGGACCAGTCGCCTGGCCTCCACGATCCCCTGACCTAAATCCTTAGATTTCTTTGTGTGGGGATTTCTAAAAGAAAAAGTGTACCAGACTCCCGTAATAATAATAATAATAAGCGTTTATTGCCCAACAGTTTAACACCATTTACAGAGCAAACTACTATAAAAAAAAATCACCATGAGGTAGCTTGTTAAGAAAAAAAAAACAATAATAATTCATGTATCAATAACAAAAAATAAATATAGTTACAGCTTAAAAATAAGAAACGTAAGATAAATCAAAAGTGCTTCAATTCACCTATGCTATATAAGAATATGTCACATACATCGGCTATTTTATTCGCATTCACACACATCATGTTGACAGGCGCTTTCGACAATAAGTTTGTTTGAGCTCTTTGACATAAAAAAGGAACATTATACCTTGATGTTAGTCGTGGTACCAGAAACTGTATTTGTGAAAGTATTGTAGGGCAGTCTATTAGATTATGCAGTAATTTATATAAAACTATAACTGCTGATTGCTGACGCCGTTGTTCTAAGGATTGAATGCCAAATTTATGAAGAAGATTGTTGTATTCTGTACCTCTAGTAGGATATATGCCATCGATCTTAAAACATAAAAATTTTAAAAATTTCTTTTGAAGTTTATCAACAACATCAATATACTGCTTGTAAATCGGACTCCATATCAAAGATCCATATTCAAGCTTAGACCTAACCAAGCTAAAGTATAATGTCCGCAAAGTCAAAACGTCAAAAGATTTACAATTCCTGATAACGAAGCCATAGGCTCGGTAAGCACTTGATATGATTTGATTGATATGCTCATTAAAGGTTAGATGTTGATCAAAGTAGATACCTAAGTCTTTCACAGTTTCACTGCGCTTAAGAACATGTTGGATCATTGTATAATTATATACCATTGGGTTGGTTTTCCTTGAAAAAGTACTACTTTACACTTACTTATATTAAGATGAAGTTGATTCTTGGCACACCAGCTTTGCAATTTATTTATTTGACCTTGAACAAATGCACAGTCTTCCAAGCACGAAACGGATGAATAAAATTTTAGGTCGTCTGCAAACATTAACTTAGAACAAGCCAAAGATTCACACAGATCATTCACAAACAATATGAACAACAGTGGTCCTAAATTCGAACCCTGTGGTACGCCACTGGTTGAGACATAAACATGTGATATGTAGCCATTATAAAAAACATACTGTTTCCTTTCAAACAGATATGATGTTAAGAGCGCTAAGTAAATGTTGTTGAAGCCCAGGTACTCCCGTAACCACAAGAGATATGCTAACAGACAGAATCAGGAATGCATGCGATGAAATAAGGCCTTATTTGAATAATGCTATACCACGTTCGATCATTCGTAGATGTGAATTGTGTATTGAACAATTGGGTTTACATTTCGAGCAACTACTTTAGATTTTGTATGGTTGTCCTAACTATCCAATAGCATTTTAGTAAATTTGTTAAAAATAATATTGGAAAATCAAACAATATTGTTTTTTTGTGATTATTTGGAGTTAGGAATTATTGCTGTGTTTAAAAACACAATCTAAACGATCATCTTAATTACTTGTAATGCCCAAATCGAAAATGTAAAAAAAAAATATTATTTTCCCATGAATAATTAAAAATGCATCGTACCTTAAAAATCGAAATATCTCAAAAACGGCTAACTATAACGAAAATTCACAAGAGAGCTTTTTTATGTTGAAAAATGCGAAGAATTTCGGTCATTTTAATACACCACAGGTACAGTAGAGAGCGCCCTCTAGCGGCTACAGTAAAACTATGCCCATGGTTCGTTTTGTCGTACCGAAAAACCCTTGTATACCAATTTTCACTGTTATACATCAAATATTGTTCGAAATATTTAAAAAAAAACTATTTTAAAAAGTAAATTTAAACACCCTGTATTTCGGAAGCCACGCATTTTTCGACCCATGTTTATATAGACTTTATGCATTAATTTTAAAAGTTCTATCGAATCTTAAAGTTAGGCAACAATAAACTGAAACGCCCTGTATATGTTCAAATTTGAAGTCATTTTATATAAAATCATAATTCCAATATGATATGTCTCGAAAAATCATATTCTAAATGAATTTTTGAAAATGTTTGAACAACCTTGAAGCGTGTGCAGAACATCGAATAATCGATAAATTTCGTGAGATCTTGTAAATAGAAATAAACAAATGGATAAAGATTATAATCTCTCCCACGTTCCACTACTTGGGTAGAATCTTTTACTATTCTCAAAAGAGACATGCGGGGTGTTAATTAAGTAATTTGACAGACGATTCTTTGAGTAATTTTAAGACAAAAAATTCATATAAATTCTTCTTCGTTCTCAAGATACGGGCTGTTAAATTTAAAAAAAGGCTTTTCGTAAACACCTTAAAAAACTATTTTAGAAAGTAAATTTAAACACGCTGTATTTCGGAAGCCACGCATTTTTCGACCCATGTTTATATAGATTTTATGCATCAATTTTAAAAGTTCTATCTAATCTTGAAGTTATGCAACAAGAAACTGAAACACCCTGTTGTTTCATAAAAATAGTTCTGTAAACATTGTTAGGACATTTATAAAACATAAAATTGTTAGTTGGGAGGTAAATTCTCCGTAAGCTAAAATGCACAAGTGCAAGTCCAAAATGCACTGTAGCAGATACGCCCATCAGACCGGCTCGTCACGTCAAATTGGCAACGCTGGCGTCGTTGCAGCCCTGTCTGTGCGCGTCGGCGTCGGCGGCGGGCAGTTTCGATTGGGGTGGCCGGCGCGCACCGCTATAGCGTCACGTGATTCCGTCCGACCATTGACAAAACAAAAACACACCGACCGGCCGCCGCGATCGTCCGTTGTCTTGTCGCGGAGGATAACAAACGAATAGCGTTTCCGCCTTCCGGTACGCTGATAACGACACGCTATACTTAGCAGCCGGCCACTTGCTGCAAACACAACACGCGCGAACGGTAGCCGAGTTCGGTTTTCCTTATAAGGTGGTTGTTTGAAGTGCTGTGTGTGCGTTTATTTGGTGGATTTCGGGATACGGTTCGTGTTTCGAGTAGTAACAGATACTAGTGCCAATTTTCACTACTACAGAGAAGGACCTCCTAGCGCCTGGAGTACATTCTATTAGACTGGGAGTAATAATATATATATATATATATATATATATATATATATATATATAACTTGAGACGTGGTCATTGTCGTCTAGACCAGTTAGGTGAAAAATTAAAGCTTCCGCCTTTTGTTGGGTACTTCGAAAAAATTTAAGCAAAGAGGTCTCTTTATACTTTTTTTAATTCTCTCTAGCTTTCAATGAACTTTGCCATCATCATCAGGAGCTACAATTACAATGATAACAGCAGCAACAAAAGTTTAAAATGAATTTAAATTGAATCAACTTACAGTAGTATGTGAGGATGTTGCTAATTGTTGTTTTCGTATAGGATGAGGGAGACGTCCAGTAACATGGTGAGAGCTGGATACATGGTACAATGGTTAAAATTATATAAAATATGACAAGTTAAAGACAGATTAAAATTATTTAGAAAACATTAGAGCATTACGTCGTGAAGCCACATGATGATTGCACAAAATGGTGGTCATGGAATAATGAGTGAGATGAACCTTTGACAGAAGGCCGAAGGTTGTCAATGTCTGTGTTGAAAGATGGAACGAATTGTGGGCGTGTGCCAAAACGTAATAGTCACACAACCCCTAATAATAACGGAACTGATGTAATTCCCAATAATAGCATCAATCCAAACAGTACAAGCACCAACCCAGACTCCAGACCTGGTTTTGCTCTCCTACCCTATATCAAGGAACTAACCCCTAAGCTGATCAGATTATGCAGTCCTTTGAACTTTCGAATTGCTTGCAAATCCGTCCTCACTATAAACCGCATTTTTCAAAAATGAAAGACAAAGTCCCGCTGCTTGGCTTAACTAACACAGTCTACTACTCCATCAATTGCAACAACCGCAACCAAATATACATAGGTCAGACCTCCAGATCTCTTAAAGGAAGGATTACATCACACAAAAGTGATGCTAGGCTTCATCCTGAAAGATGCGCTCTAGCATCTCATGTTAACACAACAGGGCATTCTAAGAATTACAAAAGTATCAAAGTTCTTGATAAAGAAAAACACCTTTCCAAACGTTTATTCTTGGAAATGTCCCACATTTTCATGAATAACAACTGTATCAACAAAAAGACAGATATTAAACAAGTGAGTGTCATTTACTCATATTTGCTAAACTGCGAAAAATTGGAGAACTTACATATCTCCCCAAATTTCGACTTTTCACAACCATAAATATAATCTGTGTTTTGGCCGATTCCACCAACAAATTTCATTCCACTCAAAATCTAATAATTCTCTTCTCACGATTTATTAATAATTATTAATTTAAAATTCCCATTAATTAAAATACAGTTTATTCAACTGCCTCTGGTCGGTTTAACAATTTCTTACATAACATTCTGAAAATCACATCATCTGAAGTGATTTGGCAACGTTTTGGCACACGCCCACAATTCGTTCCATCTTTCAACACAGACATTGACAACCTTCGGCCTTCTGTCAAAGGTTCATCTCACTCATTATTCCATGACCACCACTTTGTGCAATCATCAAGTGGCTTCACGACGTAATGCTCTAATGTTTTCTAAATAATTTTTAATCTGTCTTTAACTTGTCTTGTCATATTTTATATAATTTTAACCATTGTACCATGTGTATCCAGCTCTCACCATGTTACTGGACGTTTCCCTCATCCTATACGAAAACAACAATTAGCAACATCCTCACATACTACTGTAAGTTGATTCAATTCATTTTACACTTTTGTTGCTACTGTTATCATTGTAATTGCAGCTCCTGATGATGATGGCAAAGTCCATTGAAAGCTAGAGAGAATTAAAAAAAGTATAAAGAGTCCTCTTTGCTTAAATTTTGTCGGAGTACCCAACAAAAGGCGGAAACTTTAATTTTTCACCTATATATATATACGTCAGAATCCAAATTGCAATTTATCTGGTAACCAAATCGGTCTTCAGTCTCCGTGGTGAATTCAGCAAAAGAGCTTTCTTGTGAAAAAATACACGGTAGGGGAGATCGGTGACGGTTGTAACATAAATTACATTTATATTTTATTAACCGTAATGGTTCGTCTAGTTGAATTATTAACATTTTATAAATGCTATATAATCTTGCAAACGGACTGATATTTTTAAAGTTATGAAAAAAATCGAGTTTTATTTGTAAAAAATTCAGAGACACGTCGGTCAAGAGTGTCACATTAGACACCCAAAAGGTGGCAGTTGTAAAAGGGGGAGGTGTCGATTATAACATACATACACAGTGAGGACCAGATCAGTAACAATATAAGTTATTCAAACTTGAATCTATATCTCATCCTTTAACAAATTTTTCAAAACTGAACAAACAAAAAGAGGATTATTCTTTGCACACTTGGAATGTGCACATTGTCTAACGCTACGCTGACGAGCTTCATCGTAAACTAACAACATGTCGGCGAACTCTTGATTCGAGAACATTGTAAATCGAGACGACGTACGCGAACAAAAACAAAACAACACACTAACCACTGTTACCGTTTGTGATCGATTGCTGGTTCGATAAGAGTGATGATGAGCGACGCGCGGTTGTCATGTGTGTTTTACATATTCAATTTGATGAAACTTACTCACAGACTACAAATTTTGGCTTAACTTAGAAAAACTTAATGCCATTTATTTCTTAATTACTCAATTTAACAACGTTTTAGATTAGATTATAAAAATTAGTAAGATTGTGGTCGATATAAAACACTTAAAGTTGTAAACTATAAAGCTATTTAAACGAAAATTTATTGACTTTTGGACCATGGGTCATACGAACTTTTTGACTTTTGACCCAGAAACCTTATGGGGAATGGCTTTCGGATGTTTTGTTTTTTTAAATTGGTATGTTGTAGAACTCAATACATAGAACAAAAGCGTATTTGCCATATGCATATGACATTCTTGAGTGCAGGTATCCATAATATGTGGTTCGCAACATATCACCAGTAACACAGTTTTTCAGATTAAATAAATAGTCTTGGATAGTTCCCTGAGAATACAGTTGGAATGTTCCTCCCAACTTACGTGTGTATTAATACTGACTCCCGAAATTTTTACTGTGCTTATGGTATTGTCGTTAAGGTGATACAAACTTATTACCGTTTATTTGCTAAAAATATTAGCTACAACAGAGCATTGTTGTGTCATCGGCGCAAACATAAGGTTTTTCTTTGTACTTTAATTAGGAAGGTCATTTATATATATTAAGAATAAAAGTGGACCCAGCACGGAACCCTGTGGGAGACCACATAGGCCTGGGGGTAGTGTTGATTATGGTTTCAGGCTACTGTCTGTCACTCACATAAGATGACAAGAGCCTAATGCTACTACTATGGAACTTGTACTGCAAAAATTTTTGTAGAAGAATGTCAAGATGCCAAAAATTAGTCATTGACATATTATTGGATTTAATTAGTTACCATTCATACCTTAAACCAACGTTTTACCGCAATTTTTTTTTTATAAAGGACGATCCAAAATATATAGTCTCTTTGTTGTCTGATGTAATTTTAACTGGTTGGCTAGAGAAAGCTCAGTCATTAACAGATTTACAAATTGAATTTTAAATATTATGTTGGTAAATAGGATATTACGTTTGATGTCCAAAACTACAGAACGGATAAGTAAAGCACTCGTAGATGTGTAAAAGATGATTCAAATTGATAAGGTTTGTAGGACTAGTACAGTTTTATCTGGAACAGGAATTCCGGAGAGATACAGTTCCCTAAATGTTTATCCCACTTTCTCACACTTATCAGTTATGCAGGACGCTATGTACACATCAGAAAAGATAAGTACTTGTTTATATTTGAGGTTACATAGGTTTAAATAACTAAACATTACATTACATATTTACACCTTATAAAAGTATTTTGGAAATTATCTAAGTCTGCCCACAATAAAATTTTCTGTTGCGCAAAAAATGAGATTGATTTTTGAAGCAATACAAGATAATGCTTCATTTTCAAACTTTTTTTTTGAAATCGGTTTTTCCTAAATATCTTAGTGAACTTTCAGTTGATTTTGTTCAAGTTTAGCAGTGGTATTAACCTAATTTAGCCCCAATTAGATTGAAATTATGAAGTCCAGTGGGGTCCCGGAAAACACAAAAAAATTGTGCGCTACTGACTTTTTTAATTTTCCTATTTTTCCCAGTTGAGCCAACTTTCTTGTCTCTTGAGTTGCTTTCATATCTCGCTTCGTTTGCGAGATAGAATATAAAAAGCACTTCATTATTTATAGTTCTGTTTAAGCAACATTCAAAAGATCAAAATAGGTGTGCCTCAGGGGACGGTTTTGGGACCAACACTGTTCGTCATATACATAAATGAACTACTTCGATGTAATTTCAACTGTAAAATGATATCATATGCAGACGATACTGTTTTAGTTTGCACTGGTCATTCATGGGATGACGCAATACGGAATGCCGAGTTGTCATTAAATAAAGTCAAATGTTGGTTGGATAACAATTTAATTAAACTTAATATCTCTAAAACTAAGTATGTAACGTTTTCTCCAACCAAAGCAGGCATGCCATTACACCACCGAACATTAATTATAAATGATAGTGCTGTCGAAAGAGTTGAAGTTATTAGATACAGATACTATATATATATATATATATATACGCTGTATAACTTTGGCACTTATAACCAAAACGATGGGGTGATAGTTTTTGTAAGAAATAAACTGCAATATAATCATGATACATTCACTTTCACCGATGGAATCAAAATTTTAAACATAATGATCCAAATTAACCATAACAAAATTGAGGTATCTGCAATTTATCGTCCGCCATGTTCAGAATCCCACGAGTTTTTTAAGAATATCGATTTTTTTTTTCAAAATCAAAATAAAGTTCATTTAAAGCAACATATTTTCTTGGGAGATGTCAATATAAATATTTTCGACGATGATCCCATCACAAATGAATACTTGAATATAATATCAAGTAACGGATTTCTGTCCTATATAAACC